GTTGGGGGGGCCCCCCCCCCCCCCCCCCCCCATTGTATTGGTGCATTCCCCCATCTGAAAGTCAGACGTACGCCACTGGCATTACTGTGAACGCCGGTTCTTTATTTCCCAGGAATTAAGCACTGGGTGTATGGTAGAGGTTTCAATGAGCAGGAAGAGCTCTATATCCATGTCCGGTCGGCAAAACCATAATTTATCCCATGGGAAATGACAGATTCATCGGATGATTAAAAATCTTGCGATGTGCGTGAACGTTGTACAACTCTGCATACGTATCATGTATTATATTTTGCTACAGTTTTATTTTGATTTTCTAAAATGCCTCTCTTCGCAGGTGGGATAGATACGCACACGCACTTGCAGATGCCGTTCATGGGAGCGTGTTCCGTCGACGACTTCTATCAAGGGACCAAAGCAGCGTTGGCTGGGGGTACCACCATGATCAGTGAGTCGCTTTCCTCTCTGCGTTCTCAGTGGCTTTATTTCCGTCGATCGTCACGGGTGCCGTGAATGATTTCTAGTGGACTTCGTCATCCCGGAGAAGGGTGAGTCTCTGCTCGAAGCGTACAAGAAGTGGAGGAGCTGGGCGGATGAGAAGGTCTGCTGCGACTACGCGCTGCACGTTGCCGTCACGTGGCTGGGGCCCTCTGTGAGTTTCGGTTTCTGTGGACGAGGGGTCGATCGGCGAAAGGAGGTTCATGGGGAGTCTGTTGGTGTTCGAAGGTGATGGAGGAGATGGGGGAGTTGAGTGCTAACGAGGGGGTCAACTCCTACAAGATGTTCATGGCTTACAAGGGGGCGTTGCAGTTGGACGATACTGAGCTCTACCATGCATTCCAGAAGTGTCGGGATCTTGGCGCCATCGCCATGGTGCATGCGGAGAATGGAGACATCATTGCTGAGGTAAGTCGGGTCGTTTGAGTAGAATCGTGAAAGAATGGAGGTCTGGCGCCTTCTTGCAAAAGCAAACAGTCATTGTTCAGTGGTAAAAGCTTTTGAATTGGCTCTTTAGAGAAGAGCTAATAGCTCTTGGCTTATAATACTCGGTGCCAAGTTTTGTGATTTCTGAGCCAGTAGGAACAGAAAGGAATCTTTAATTGAAAGAAAGTTCATGGTGGAACAAATTTGAGAATACTGTGTTGCCTTGATACACATTCTTCAGTGGAGTCAAACATGCATCACTCTCTCCGGTTTCTGTGTTGATGATTGTCCTCGATCTCTTATTGTAGAACCAGAAGAAGCTGCTTGCTGGAGGGATCACCGGCCCGGAGGGACATCTTCTAAGCCGACCGGAGGAAGTCGAGGCCGAAGCGGTCAATCGAGCCATCACCATTGCCAATCAGGTGGGTGTCGATCGCATCGAGACCCCTCTGCCTTTCTTGGATGTTTTTTTTTCACGTACTCGCTTCCACCTGTAGGTAAACTGTCCTCTGTACATCGTTCACGTGATGAGCAAGTCTGCGGCAGACATCATCGTGCAGAAGCGCAACGACGGCTACCTAGTCTTCGGAGAGCCGATTGCGGCCTCGCTGGGCACCGACGGGACTCACTACTTTAACAAGTGCTGGCGGCATGCAGCCGGGCACGTTCTCAGCCCTCCCCTCCGACCGGATCCTTCAACCCCTGGTCATCTCATGGATCTTCTTGCTGCGTTAGTCGCATTTTCGTGCTCGGCTGGGGCCGTCCCGGTCATCTCTGCTTTGGTGTTTTGGTGTTTCAGGCCTTTGGGTGCATGCTTTTAATACGTAGGGAAATATCTGGCCGGGTAGAAAGAAACGAATATAAAAGGTGTATGTAGATCATGTATATATATCGTGTAGGTGTATGTATGTACAGCGGTATGAACCTAATGAATTAGCCAAAATTATATTTGAAAGGTGCTTAGTTTAAAAAGTGCCAGACAGAGTGCTCAAGTTCAGAAAGGATGACACTTATTAATCTACAAGGGCTGTACGAGTCCTTATCATATCTATGCACTAGAGGCCTGGAAAAAAGGAGGGTTGGCTTTTGACAGGTGTTGACTTGTGATAAGAAATGGTTCCACTTTATGGACACCTGCTGCCTAGTTCCTTCTGGATTTTGAGAAACAGTAGGTACAAGATGCTTACTTAATGCGAAACTGTTTATATTACCAGTCAAGGAGTTTGTAATGGAGTGTAGAAAGATCTCCTTGAGATTTGTGAGCATTGACAGGAAGAGTTTCATTTTGAACTTTTCACCTGCACTGCAAATATTGTTCAATATGTGGATACTGTTACTTGTAGTGGTCTATCCTTAATTACGTATCTTGACAGGTAATATCAACAGAAGTCAGATAAAAATAATACATTAGTGGGAGAAATGACGAATTTCTTCCTACATTGAAAAATGGAAGCAAGACAAATGTTTATTTTTCTTGTGGAGGGAGCAAAGAGAGTGATGCTTTCCCCTTTTTCCAGTGATGGACTGCAGGTGACAGGGACAGACAACTGCACCTTCAACAGCAACCAGAAGGCCCTGGGGAAGGACGACTTCACCAAGATCCCCAACGGGGTCAATGGCATCGAGGATCGCATGGCTGTCATCTGGGAGAAGGGGGTCGTCACTGGGAAGATGGATCCTTGTCGCTTTGTTGCTGTCACTTCCACCAATGCTGCCAAGATATTCAACATCTTTCCCCAGAAGGTGAGTCTCACCAAGTCTGCCTGTTCCACGATTTTCCCAAATTCCGTGTTGCTCGGAATGAGATCTGGATCTAGGTCTTCCTGTGAGCTGCCTCAAAATCAGAAACAATTATTTAAGCATGTCCCATTTTTGAATGACAGGTATATGATTTACATTGAGGTGGTCTCAGGTTTTATTTCATTTATCATTGCAAGAATTGTGCTTTTGTTGGTACCAGGCTAATATAGAATGTTTGGGAAGAAAGAGAACCCCAGCTTTTGTTGATGGTTATTGTTATGTCTCTTGTCAGCAGTCCATGCATCCTTTTAGTTTATGGTAACTTTAGCCAACTGAAGCTCTGTTATAGCTTCAGCTCCCTGTCAGTGTTCCATTTAAACATGAGAGTGATCGTTGCAGGGACGCATCGCAGTCGGGTCGGATGCAGACGTGATCGTTTGGAACCCAAACGTCACCAGGACCATCTCGGCTCAAACTCATCACCAAGCTGTGGACTTCAACATATTTGAGGCAAATTTCTTTTTTTTCTCTTGTGTCATGGGAATCTATCGACCCAATGCCACATCTGCACGAAGGCAAGTAATTTTCTGGTTATTCAAGTTATCAAATCAATGTATTGTTTTGATGCAGGGGATGGAATGCCATGGCATGCCCATGTACGTCATAGCTCGAGGGCGCATCGTCGTGGACGAGGGGGAGTTGCGAGTCTGTCAGGGGTCTGGACAATACGTCCCCACGCCTCCCATGGCCCCATACGTCTACATGACGATGCGGGAGAGGGAACGCCAGCGGGTCCCTCCCAAGGTAGAGCGAGAGGCTTATGAGGGCCCGACCGGCGATGGCATCCACATGTCACCCAGGAAGGACTACATGAATGGTCATCAGGGATCAGCCAAGGGACTCCACGAGCAGCACGAGAATGGGAACGAGCAGCATTTCTACACGCGGGGACCCACTCAATCCGGTGGGCGGAACCTTCAAGACTCCACTTTCTCCATTTCTGGTACATCCTTCCTTCTTTTGCTTCTGCTAATTGATTCTTTTTATATCTTTTGCTTGCCTATAGGTGAGTTCCTTAGAGGAACAGCCCCTCTCTGCAAGTGTACTATTGCTTCTATCAGTGTTGTGGGTATTAGAAAGAAAAAATTAGCTGGAATAATTCCATTTCAATTCCAGGGCTCTAGCATCATCTCATTATCATTTCCCCTTGATTAGACAGAACCCTGTTCTGATTTCATAACAAACCAAAGAATCAATCTCATGCCCTTGGACTCTGTTGGCTGCCCTTTTTTTCTGTATTTTATCTCACTTCCACTTTCATCCTCATTGTTAAATTCCAATTTTGGACTCCCTGAAGTATCATCTGAATCATGAAGAAAATCATCACTGCCATGTCCATCTGAACATTTAGAAAATTGCCATTTTCCAAATTTATTTCAAGTACCTTCCTCTTCCCTCACAATGATATGAAATCTCAAATTGTATCTTGTGGGCTGTTTTACATAGAGTTACCCATTGAAATTTTCCCTCATTCAGTTTTTGTATCTTTGATTTTGCCCATGGAAAATCATTTTGTTCTGTTGATGCCAACATTCTGGTTTGCCCTTATTGTAGTCAGAATGCTATTAGAAAATTTTGCAGACTAGTTGGCCTTACTATGCTATGCTATACTATGCTATACAGTTTAGGTGTTAAGTCTGCAAAATGTGCCTAAAAAATAAGGAAAATGATGGGAAAGTTGAAGTGAATTTTGAGTGGGGCACTATTTCTCAATGATGCTGTTTTTAATTGACCCCAGTTTTCCAGTGGTACAATGTGAACTGGTCTTATTTATGCAATTTTTTTTTATTGCTGTCCATATATGAGAATGCTCTTCTTGATTCACCTTCCAGGCAGAGTGTATAATTTTGAACATCCCAATATTTCAATTTTTCATGGAAGGAATTGACCTTTTTAAGATTTTGAAAAAGTCAATGCAGTACGTTCACAATTTTGAGCAATGCCGATAGGTATTGGCATCTACACTAGAGGCCAAACTTGTGGAAATACTTGAGAAAAGGCAAATTATCTGCATGAGAAAAATATTATTTTGGATCTCATTACAAAATCGATTCGATTGTAATCATTGATAATTTATTGGTAGTACTTCATGAGTGACATTTTCATGCTAATCAAAATATATGAAGTGGACCTACAATGGAGAGCATATAAAAAAAATATTTGTGTGGTATGAGAAAAGAAAGCTATATAAATTATATCAAAGATTCTCATATAATCATGCTTTTATAGTAGCAGACACTATTCAATACAAAAACGTATTTATTTAATTAAACTGTGCTCTAAATTATGCTCAATAAATGGTGCACTTTAGCATTTGAACCATTACCTATAAACTGCAAATAATACATTTCTTTTTAAATATTGACTGGTTGCAAAAGTCTCTGAATATCTTGATTAGATTGAATTACTTGTCCAGACCATGCATTATAACCATTCTCCAGCTGATAATGAAAAAATATTGTTCCCACTGTAATAACTCTAACAGGAAGTATCATACATGGAATACTACAATATTTTTCTAACATATCCAGAATTTTGGCCTCTAATATAATTGTTAAAAAGCGTGCATTTTGGCTATTAAAGCACATGTTATTTTATTGTATAGTGTCTGCTACTATTAGAAATACAAAATTGTATGAGAATCTTAGATGTAACCATATTCATCGCCTACTTTGTCATACGACACTAATTAGTTTTTTCCACTCCCATACTCTGATCATAGGCCCATTTCATATATTATTATTACTCTGAAAATATGTCCTTCATGAGGTTCAACTATGTGACTACAATCGATTGATTTTTTAAAATGAGATTCAAATAATATTTTTCTTATGCAGATAATATGCCTTTTCTCAAGTGTTTCCACAATTTTGGCCACGAGTGTATATATATTGACTTGTATCTGCATCTCATAGTTGCTGAGTGCCTTGACTGTTAGCTTTTGGCGTGCTGCTCTAAGTTTTCATGTTTTTTTTTCCCAGGAGCCCAAATTGATGACAATTTGCCGAGACGATCAGGCATCCGAGTCCACAATCCACCCGGTGGCAAAGCGTCTGGATCCTTTTGGTGAAAGGTTCAAAATGCACTTCTTTCTTCGGATGATATGGCTAAAAGACAGAACCGAAAATGCTTGTGAGACGAAATTTGCAGTGATTTTTTTTTGCTGTCGTTGGATATATCGAAGAATGCAGTGAACTCGTTTGCACTCTCCTCAGTGCCCTTTACTCGTTTCAATCGTCCATAGAGAAGTGAGTGTGGGTGAGAGATGGATCAAATGTCGGTGTCTTCTTTTTTTTGCATTCTGCGTTCATACAAATAAAGCTTCGTTTGGTTGCTGATCAAGCTTGGCCTTTGAAAGTTCATGAGTTTGTCCATGAATTGTGCTTCCCTTAGGCATATGTGAAGGAATTCCCAATAGAACAACTCTACTTGAGCAAGAATGTCAGGAGGAACATGTGGAGCGAAACAGCATCCAAAACCCTGAGGAGCAAAACTGGAGTAAGAATCATGTGGTGTCTCCCCAAAGAACGAGGGAGCAATATTCGAGGAGTGTGTATTGCCCAGTATATGCCATTCCGCGTGCACCGAACGCGAGCAGTAAGGACTCAAGTTCTTGAGGACACGTTTGCTACCAGAAAATTTAAGAATGGGTGCCAGAGACGACTTATTGGACTGATCTGTTAAAGGAGACTGAGACCTCCCCTAACTCTTCTTCTTGTAGGTATCATTTTAACCTAGATGTTCCTAGCATCCTATATGTAGGACAGTGAACGTAGTGGCGTATTTTAATTTCTGGAAAAAGTTCTACTTGTAGCCAGATGGCACTTGCATTGCTGAAATCAGCATTCATTGCTTATTATCCATTTTACCAGTCGAGAGGGTGATCCAAGCCCTTGCCTCGCTGTAGCAACGAGAATATATTCAAGTTCAAATCCCCTCCCCACATTCTCATGCCGCAACAAGGAAAAAGTTAGTTCTTATTTTAAAAGAATTTAAGTTGGTATTTGCCCTAGGGGCCAGATATTGACAAGTTTTTGTCATGGAACCCTTTTAGCATTAATTAACGTTTTTCCTTTATTTGGAATCTTGCGATTATTTGCTTTTACTGCAATAATTTGGTACAGTAAAATATTTTTGTCCTATTTATCTAAAATAAAAAAAATCTAAAATAATTTTGCTGGTCTTACTCAGTTTATCCCCCGTCCTTGTCCTCCCACGAAAGGAACGTGATTTCATTCAGGTACTACATAGTTTTATTATTTATTTAGGAATTTGCACTTTTCTATGCAATTTAAATTTCCATTAACCGCTAAGAAAATATTTCAACCCCTCATTTTAAAAATAGAATTTAGATGCTCAACGTAGTTTACGAAAGTTTGTGCAAATGTACACCGCGGGCCGGATCCGGCCCACGGAGGTGGTTCATCCGGCCCGCCGACCGATTGAGTCTGACACCCCTGCCTTAGATGAAATAAAGCGTGTATTAAATATGACGTCCTGTATTTCCAAAACTAATGACCAGGACCCTTTCTCACGAAACTTCTTTAACTATTCTTTAACTTTATTTCGGCTATATTTCGACTTTATCCCGACCCAAAATAAAGAGAAAATAAAGACACCTTTGGAGGTCTCTCTATCTCGACTTTAACCTCTCAGAGGACTACGGAAACTCACCTGTGCGTATTCTTAATAACGTGCCCCAAGCGTTGCATGAGCATTCTTTCTGCCACCTGTGACTCACTGCTCT